GTTCCCATCAGTGAAGCCTGAAAGTGTTTTACGTCCTTGTTGCAACCTTCGGCATCCAGAACTTGCCGGCGAGTCTCAAAGGCAGTGAACCAAACTTGTGATGCACTTCCAGGCCATGGCGACGAAACAAATGGTCCAGGGATGTATATTTTCGCAGGCAGCCGACGGCAGCTTGGTAGCATATGGGAGAGCGCGGTGGACATCAAAACGTCACTTAGATCCCTAGGAACATGTTTGACTGTTCTGGTGGTCACGGTTGAAGGAGTCCGGTACACCTTTCCAGCGCGCAGCTTTCCAATGCGCTCGGACAAAGGAACAGTCAGGAGGTTCGGTCCAAACAAGACCATCGGTTGGAGAACCGGGCAGCGTAAGTAGGGAGAGGTGTTGAATCGCCATAACTGGATAAGTTGTGACACCTTGCCACAGAAAATTCCTTTAAGCCTTGCTGGCAGGACACCCGGCCCTGACAGCTACCCGGAAGGTTGGTAATGTCCATAGTTGACCTGTGGGGTGGACTTTAATCGTGTACTGATAATTATAAGCCGCTGCTAAGGCCTCCAAGCTGTCCACGCCCCGTCTGTACGGGTTCTCGATGTAGACGTCACTGAGAGCCAGCGACGGGGTTTCTCCTGCCCGAAGAGCGTTACATCGACGCTGCCAGTCGATCCTGGTCTGGTGCTGCTCCTCGGCGTCTGCCTGTGTGTCGCCGGTATTGATGTCGAGGTTTTCAAGGGCAATCACGAAATCCCGAATAACGCCAGCAAATTCAGATTGCAGGATGGAGTCCATATAAACTGCGGCAGCCAATTCCGTATACAGATTAGCCCAGCTTTGCCCTCCCGGTTTCACTCCTTCCTCTTCTTTCAGCAGCTTCGGCTTCGAGCAACGCGGCAACTTCACCGTCAGGCCGGGAGCTTGGGTAGCCATGATCTTCAAGCCGTCAATCACTAACCTAGCGACCTCGGGGCGTGCGAGAGCAGCCCAGGTATAATTCATGTCAGCGGCCACAGTTCCGAGTCGTGCCAGGTCAATCTCGTACCCCGACACTCCCACCATGAAGGATGCAGCCAACGTCGCTCCCGTCTTGGTCGTAGAGGTCTCAACTGAACTGTTCAACGATCGCATTGGTCAACTTATCGGGCCCACACCACTTATCCAGTAAAAAAAATCCGCTAAAAAGCGCGCATACGAGGATCGTGGCTCTGACACACGTCCGGGTGCTCTTCTTCCTTGGGTTCCTCTGGACGGATCCGGTAGCTTGGGAATCTCCATGCGTTTTTTGACCAGGGGAATTGTGTCGTGTACTCCTGGTTGTAAGCGGCTGCTAAGGCCTCCAAGGTGTGCACGCCATCGAGGCAGTACGAAAACCTGGTGTAGATGGCGTTGAAATCCAGCATCCCGTCAAGGTTTCCGCATCGACGTTGCCACTCTACTCTGGCCCTATGCTCGGCAGCGTCTTTCTTGGTGTTCCATGTCTCGATGTTGACAGTTTCGAGGGCAGTCACAAAATCGCGAATAACCCCCGCCAGCTCTTCCTGCAGGTAGGGACACCTAAAAACTTGCTCAGCCAGCTGGGTGTAAAACTGATGTGACGATTTTGTTTGACTCCCCTCTCCCCGTATCCCTGCATCCTCTTCATTCATCAGCTTTGAGTCTGGCAACTTCACTGTTAGGTCCAGTGCCTGGCTAGCCATGATTTTCAAGCCGTCAAACACCAGCTTGGCGGTGTGGCAATCGTCGCTGAATAGGAACGACCCTGCATACTGCATACCCGCCGCCACAGACCCGAGCTGCCCCAGGTCAATCTCTCGGCCTCCCAACTTCACGAGGAAGGACGCGGACAAGGTCGCCGGGATGTTGGTAGTGGCCTGAACTGAACTGAGCGACCGCATTCGAACTATGGGGGAAAAAAATTGAAGCCCAGAAATTAGGGCGTTGGGTCTCCGACCTTTTCGGAACCACTTTGCCGTCATGTGATTCCACGTCTCGTCACATCAAAACGAACAGAAGGGATTTGGACGTAAAAAAGTGAATTCCTCGTGTCTAGGTAGTATTTTTCGGAAGAGTGGCCTCGGAAGAGTGGCCTCGGAAGAGTGGCCTCGGAAGAGTGGCATTATCCTCCTCTCCAGATGGTCGCCTCAAAACCCCCGGTAGGTTGGCATGAGTTCCATGTTTGTCCTACCCAGAGATTTTTCGCGGTGTACTCCCTCTTGTTGTAGGCGGCTGCTAGGGCCTCCAAGCTGCCGACACCCTCGAGTCTGTCCGGGAAGTGGTCGTAGACATCGTTGAGTTGCAAGAGGGAATCGGTTTTTCCAAGCATGTCGTTGCATCGACGCTGCCAGTCTACTCTGGCCTCATGCTGCTCGCCGTCTTTCTCGGCGTCGGATGTCCAGTGTTTCGAGGGCAGTCACGAAATAACACCCGCAAGCTCATCCTGCAAGTTGGGGTAGATATAAACTTGGTCAACCAGATCCGCAACAATCTATTCTCCTTCCCTGCCCCGTCTTCAACTCTGGCAGCTTTACTGTCAACTTGGTCCTCTCGACGTCAGCTCCGAGGAGCTCTCGGAGCTTCACCGTGAGGCTGGGTAGTCATGATGTAAAGTCCGTTAACCAACATCTCGTCTTGCCGGCCCAGCCGTGCTGGATCAACCCAGGAGGAAGGTCGCTCGGTCTCAGGTCCTTTTGGTTTCAGAAGACATTTTGTTGTTAAGTAATAGGAGGTCCGCAGATTTCAGGCGGTCGAGGATCGCCTTTTCTTTATTCAATTCCTGCATCTGAGAATATTCGCTATGGGTGAGGTTAGCTTTAGTTCCATTTTTCCTTAATAGAAACTCTTCTTGCTCAATATCACTGTCTACTAATTCGGCTTCCTCAAGCGCCTTTTTCTTCCACTCACGCGCTTTAAGAGTCTTTGTTAACCGGAATTGTTGCGACTCGATATACTCCGCCTTCTCGGCAATGTCATGTACCTGGGACGCGTCGTAATTCATTGCCCCTATTGGACTAGAGCTTAGAGGCTGGACGACTAGCCCCTTCGTGATTTTGTTATACCTCTCCACTTCTTCTTTCTGAGCCAACGTTATTACCGTGCCTTTACACTGCGCTCCGCGCGCCGTCCTTCCACTGCGGTGAACAAACGTCTGCAGACTCCGAGGTACCTGCGCGTGGACCACCAAATCCACGTTCGGAAAGTCCAAGCCTCGAGCCGCGATGTCGGTCGCAAACAAGACCCCACTTTCACCGCGACGGTTAAACTTCTCAAAGACCTCGTACCTCTTGCTCTGCTTCTGCTGTGAATGCAAACTTAACACATGCAACCTTCTAAACGCATCAACCAGCGTCTCGGAACCCGACGCCACACCCGACTCTTCGTTAGGTAAGGACGCAGCGACCGACGCAGCGTCGCACGGCGACTCTCCATCAAACTCTGAACCTTCATCAGACTCTGAGGCTGCGCCAGACGTCACCGTCGATTCAGACGGCGACGAGTCCGTCTCGGACATCACCGCTGTATGAGCCACTGAACTAAGCGTCGAACTACTCTCCACAACTGACGAGGCCGCGATCTTGCGACTGCCGTTCTTCTCTTTCATCTCAGCGGCATTTCCTGCGACAAGAAGGTTAATGGGCACATATTTCATTGCCGTGGACTTATTCGACGAAGTAGATTTCCTCAGCACATATTCACGGCCATCGCCCTTAGCCGCGCAATCCTTGCAGACAAGTTTTGCGAATTTGCACAGCTTTTTGGCGAAATCGATCGTGTTTGCAAACACAATTATTTTGACGACCGATTTTTCAGCGAAGTGCTTGGCAAAGTATCTTGTTATGATGGTGTATAGATATCTGAATTTGGACCTGTAGTTCCCCACGGCGCTGTAGACCTCGATCCCGCGGGGTAATTGCAGCTCCTGGACGGCCTTGATTTGTTGTTTGAATTCATTGGTCGTTAAGTCAATAATTTCAGTGTCCTTGGTACGGAACGGTATGATGTCCATGGCGTTGATTTTGTTTTTGGTGTCGCTCGGATGGCCGTCGGATATTTCACTTGATTGTGTAGCCTTGACTCGATCCACGGTCTGACGATCCACGGTCTGACGATCCACGGTCCGATGCATGTCGTGAGCAAGTGTAAGGGTGGCTGAGGCAATCAGGTATTGGCAAGTTGTTTGGTTTCCAGAGGTTGCTTTGTCTGATTGAACTTTCTGTAGTATCTTCTGCATGTCCTTGGTCTTTCCAGTCTCGAACATTCGGTCTGCTTCGTCGACAATGAGATGGCGAACGGTGGACAGGTCGGAGAGGTAAGGGTTAGCATCTATGTTCAGGTCTTCATCGCCCATCAGCAAGGCCAGCAGTCTGCCGACCGTGGCGATAATTATGTTTGGTCTCTTCTTAGTTAAACGCCTTTGCTGTTTCTCTACCATTATGCCACCGACCACCAACTCAGTGCGTACCTCTAGTCCTCTACACAAGTCCAGTAAAACGTCATTGACTTGGCGGGCTAACTCATGGGTCGGTGCTAAAACAATTGTGTCCAGACCGCTCTCCTTTGCTTCTGGACAACTCACCCAAAGCGACAACATGTGTATCAAACAAGGTAACGCGAAGGCACCAGTCTTACCACTACCAGTTTCACTTGCTATGCACACATCCTTTCGGCACACCGTCGCTAACGGTATCACTGCGCGCTGGATAGCCGTAGGTGCCAACCAACCCATCTCCTTCAAATTACGCAAAATAACACTCGGTATCTCTAGACCCCGACTAGCTCCTAACACTTTACCCTTCATCACTGGACTTAATACCCCCTCCAAACTGTCCAAAGACCATGTCAACCAATCCGCCATCAACTCCCTCTCTATGTCCACCTCTGGCAACAAAACCTCACCACGCCGTACCTCACCACGCCGTACCTCATCCTTCTTCTTCGGCACCAAACCAGACGACTTCTTCTCGCTCTCAGCTATCAACCTATCCGCTTCGTCGAACTCGAAGACCGCTTCATCCGGGTCGAAAGGAACCTGGTCAGAAACGTCATCATGTGCCGCCTCTGTAACACTCGCCTTTTTCCTTCTTTTCTGTGGAGACTCCAGCTGCGGACATACTAGCTGTGGAGCCTCACATATTTCCAATCCCACGAGACCATCACAAAGCAGACTAAGTACACAAGAAGGTAACCGAAGGTCGCAAAAGGTAACCGAAGGTCGTAAAACCGAAGGCCATAAAACCGAAGGTCGTAAAACCGAAGGCCATAAAACCGAGGTCGTAAACTACAGCAAGCGAGCAGATCGAGTTTTAAAAATGCTCTTCCGTCATAACGGGCACGCTTACCTGGGGTCTACCGAGAGATTATGCCATCGCTTCTTTATCCGAGGCATCGCACACCGGGTGGTTCTCAATAAATATTTACCCTGGTTCGGCTTCCCCCCTGGTTCGGCTTCCCCCCTGGTTCGGCTTCCCCCCTGGTTCGGCTTCCCCCCTGGTTCGGCTCCCCCCTAGTTCGGCTTCCCCCCTGGTTCGGCTTCCCCCCTGGTTCGGCTTCCCCCCTGGTTCGGCTTCCCCCCTGGTTCGGCTTCCCCCCT